AGATTTTCAAAAAAAAAAGGTAAATTCTTTCTAAAAAAGCTATACCCTCTAATTTTTGTATTCTCCCACTATTTGATTGTGATTACATGTAGAAATCTAGATTTTAGAATTTAATTGTGAATTGTTTACGAATTTTGTGAAGAAATGTGAAAATTAGATTGGAAATTATCAATAAATGTGAAAATTAAAGGGAAAATTATCAATAAATGTGAAAATTAGAAGGAAAATTATCAATAATTTTGTGATATTTGTGAAGAATTAGTGTGTAAATTATCAATAATTTTGTCAAATTAGAGAAAAAATTATCAATAATTTCGAAAATTATTGTATTTAGAGTTTAGAATTTAATTGTGAATTATTTAGATTTTGTGAAGAAAAATTAGATTTTAGATTTTTGCATATGTATGATATAAATTAGATTTTAGAATTTAATTGTGAATTATTTACGAATTTTGTGAAGACGTATTAAATAATTTTGCGTATTTAGAGGTGAAATTATCAATTAATGTGGAAATTAGAGTTACTACCTAAATGTAAAAATTAGTAACAATCAATATTTATTTGGCTTTTCGTGTAATATTGATATTGAATTTTTCACTCTTCAGAGGTAACGATGAATGATCGAATTGTAATTCTCTGTTCTTATGATGGGAAGATTAATTACCTCGAGAATAATATGCCCGTTTATGAAGGAGGCACGACGAGACCGTTGTTCATAACAAAATCGTGTACTTTCGATGATTTGGTTAATGAATTACACAAACTTACATTAACTAACTCACGTGAGTATCACCTCAGTGTGGTTTGCAATTATCCTGTTGTGGAGAACAGAACAAGTGGCATTCAAATATCAAGTGACTACGATATGGGTCTCATTCATGTCTTACACGACGAGAAGCGTTCGGTCGAATTGTTCATTGAAAAACATCAGAGAGATTTGGGCAAATCGTTGAACTACGAAGGAATGTATTCCCGCATGTTGGAGGATCCTGAAGTTGATTCTGTAGGCTTTTTATCTCCTCAACAAGATGAATGTTGGACACAATCACAATACATGAGCGGTCCTTCGTTCGTGGGCACTTCGAATGCTTTCGATACTAACACGGGAATTCAAGAAGATAATGCAAGTGTTGAATCCGAGAATGATGATGAAGAGGAGGGATTACAAATTAATAGCATGACCTTGATAGATCGTGATGACGGGGAAAACCAACACATCGACGGGGCTTATGTTAATAATGAGTATGTCGGCTTAGAGGATCCGCCGCCCGATGAACTTCAAGGAGATGAATGGATTGATAACTCCGCGATGGAAAGTGTTCCTATTGGCACTAATAGCGGTGTTGATACACAGGCCGAGGACTTCTCATTCATCAAGGGAGATCTTTACGAGAGTAAGGAGAAATTGATCCATGCTATTCGCACGTATTCCATTGCAAAAAATGTGAAGTTCAGGCCAACCAAAAATAATACTACAAGCTATAATGTGGTTTGTTTCTATCGCAAAGATGACGATGTCGAAGATAATAGTGGACACCACGACGACAATGCGAGGTGTCCGTGGAAGCTTAATTCACGCTCGGGTTCAAGAGTAGGTGGGCAATTCAAAATCACGGCATACAATGGACTCCACACTTGTAGCAATCCTCGATTAGAGATGAATAACAAGAATGCGTCCTCTTCTTTTATATATCGATTGATTTTACCTCATCTGAGGGAGGATCTTGATCTAAGGCCGAAAGATATCCGTCTTTTAGTGCATAAAGTCACCAACTTGGATGTATCATATCACAAGTGTTGGAATGCTAGGAGGAAGGCGATGATAAAAATATTCGGGGATTGGGAGAAATCGTATGAGATCTTACCTCATTATCTTGAAGCACTCAAAAGAGAAAATCCGGGGACTGTCTACGAAGTATCTTCGGACCCCGTTGATGGCGGAGAACGGCGGTTCACCGGTGTATTTTGGGTATTTGGGCCCTATATCGAGGGCTTTCGATATTGCCGTCCTCTTCTTCGCATTGATGGAACTCACTTATATGGTAAATACAAAGGCGTTTTGCTTGTTGCAACCGGAGTTGACGCGGATGGCGGATTGTTTCCTTTAGCATTCGCAGTGGTTGATGTTGAAAATACAGAGAATTGGGCTTGGTTTTTTGCATGCATTAGATATCATATCCCTAGTGTGGGGACGCGGCCGATTACATTCATATCCGATAGGATGAAAAGAATTCCAAGAGCACTCCAACGACATTTCCCACTACCACATGCACATCGCTTTTAGCTGGACACGTAGATGGATCACGCGTGACCCACAGCCCTTAACTGGACACATGCCACGCCCACCGACAGATAGTTACATCCCTAGTGGGATGAACGAGAGAGATTACGTAAGTTTCTAAGCTAAATTATAACATTTTTATTGAGTTGATACTTAATAAATTGTTTACCACGCAAGTCCGTGTTTTAGATAGCATTGATGCTGATATTGATGCGCACGTGACTGAGATTCAGGATCAGGTGGCGTTAGGGCTCCTCAGCAGGATCAAGAAGAGCATAGCGCAGGTGTTTCATAAGACTCACGTCGACGAGTTCGCAGGCCGTGAGGACAGGTCTCGCTCATTTGGACGGGCGTACGCTCGACGTCGACGGCCGCGTGATGATGACGCCGGCACTTCGCATGCCGATGGAGCCGGCACTTCACAGCTTCATACACAGCCGGATACTCAGATAGTTGAGGCTCATCAGCAGGAACCCAGGGGGCGGGGAAGAGCGAGGGGGAGGGGGAAGAGAGGGAGAGGAAGGAGGGGAGCTATATTGGGTTGTATATGAACTTATTTTGATAAATTTTGTAACTTTCCTGAATTTTCAAATACTAAACTTTTGAAGGTAAATTATTGTTTATATACATAATCATGTGTGTTTAATTCATGGTTGAATCATGTATATATTGTTTTTTGCAAATAAATTGGCATATATATGAGTTATAATTCATTGTTGAATCATGTATATATTGTTGTTTGCAAATAAATTGGCATATATATGAGTTAACATGTACATATGTTTTAACATGCACAGCAGGCTGTGCATTCTGGATGACCTGCAACTTCACGGGAGTTCAACTCCCGTGAAGTTGCAGTCCCAATTTCCCAGAGAACCGAGATCGGTTCTCTGGGAATGTTGGAGTGTAACTCCACGGGAGTTGAACTCCCGTGGAGTTTTAAGCACAAATTAAGCTTCACGGGAGTTCAACTCCCGTGAAGTTTAATTTCTCCATAAACTTCACGGGAGTTGAACTCCCGTGATGTTTCGGAGAATTTTTTACAAAAACCGACCTGTTTTCAGCGCTGGGCTGAAAACAAGTCGGTTTTTGTAATTATTTTCAAAAGGGATCGTTTTTTACAAATAAAATCCAAAAATGGGTGGTTTTGAAAATTTGTCCAATTAAAAAATGGTGATGATGGCAACCTCATAATAAATTGAGTTATGAGTAGCGTTCGTGTCCAATGTGGCACCCAACCACCCAAGCTAATAAAAAGGTAGACGGCTTTGAAAGATAAAGCCTCTCACCCTCCTCCTGTCCTCCCCCAACCAACTGCATTTACTTCTTCTGACGACATGACATGAGAAACATTGATGAGATGCATGGAGAAAATAAGGTTCTCCGGTCGGAATAGATCACAAGACTAGAGATTTGATGTCATTTTTTGTGGATTTATGTTTTAGGGAAAATTGCTTCTGGCCTCCAAAATAATAATAATTATTCTTTTCACACTTAAGATTTTTTCAACACTCTTAAAATCGTCAAAAACAAAGCCACAATTTTCTGAGTTCCCAAAACACAAAACCCAAGAGTTTAAAACAAATGAAGATCATAATATCATTTCTCTCTCTCTCTCTCTCTCTCTCTCTCTCTCTTTTCATGATGTTACTATGATGATTTGAAATGGATTTTGGGGGGAAATTCTAGTTCCCTCGAAATTTATATATTGTTGTGATCTTGAAGATGGTGATGACGAAGACGGTGGATCATTTAAAGACTAAGAATATTACGAGCAAGGTAAGTTGCGATGGATTCAGCGTCGCTGTTCCGAAGAAAAAAGCAAGAACTCCGACGACTCTCGGTGTAATTTTCCCTCTTTTTTAGCTTGTGCTTGAATTTGATGCTATATTTTAAAAATATTTTACATATTGTTGTAATTTTTTTTGAAATCGATGACTTGAAATTAAAGTAAAGTCTACATATTGTTGTTATTTTTGTTGGATATTTATTGAGAAAAGGCAATTTTACCTTTGTATTTTAGTCCCACATCGGAAATTGAAAAAGAATTCTCTCTCCCTCAACCCTATAAATGCACATCCCTTATTCACATTCCAAGGAGAAGAAGAAAAAAAAAGCTTTTCTCCTCCCATTTGGTTTTTAAAAAAATTGTTTTTCCCTCTATAATTTTTGTTATTAATTTTATGGGCAATCTTCTTCATCTGAGCTGAAGCTCTGTACTCTCGCTCGAGTACGGAGGCCGGCCGTTTCCGGGGGCTTTACCGCTAGGGGGGAGGGAACCATTTACGCTAGGACGATAGTTGGGTTCTCGATCTTCTAGACAGTGATTACACAACTGCTTCCCATCAGGCCTGATTTTTCTAACTTATATTATTTATCTTTAGATTTAATTTTGATTTAATTCGGATTTAATTTACATGCTATAATCTTTGTTTTTATAAATTTCTAACAATCTAGAAGATTGAGATATTCATAGTTGTTAATTTTTTAAATCCGAATTAAATAAATAAAAAAAATTTGAGGAAAAAGTTCAGGTTTGGTTACTGTTCATCCAAAATTTGTAAGTAAGTATTACTGTTAATTATTGCATTTATTACATTTATTTAATTGCTGTTAATTTGTAATTAATTACTACTAATTAATTTTAAGAGTTAATTACAATTAATTATAACCTATAATTGATTAATTGCTATAAATTATTCATGGACTTTGGAATTTTGCATCCTTTTTCTCTGTCTCTTACTTAGTCTGAGTAACTTTGACACGCTGTGATTTTATTGTATATGCTATGGACGATGATTTTGCATGAAAAGCTTTGTTTTCATTGCCTCAAGCTTTTATACACGTTACGTACAACTTTTATAATATGAGATAGTAAGTTCTCTCTGGCACGTATAGGTGGTTTTTGGTAAATGAAGCATATATTTTTTTGTTGCTAACTAAATAAATAGAAAGAATTAAAACAAAATCTGAGAGCAGCAATGTACATGAGTACGCTCTCAAAAATCCGTTGTCCAAAGTAGTGTAGTCAAAGTTCATATTGTCAAAACAAAAGTATACAGAAAAAAAATCTAAATGACATCTCATAGTTTCAAATAAATAAATAATATAAACAATCAACAGTCATATTGAAATAGTTAATTACTGAACAATCAGAAAGCGTCTATAAGACTATAACTATGATAACCACAAAGTCTTTTACGCTTTTGATCACATTCATATGGCTGTTTAGTTTTCAAATTCTGTTTTATTGTTTTTGCCATCATCTATAGAGAACAAAATAGATGCTTTGAAATATCTAAATTTATTCATGGTTTAATACTTTCATTTCTTTAAGCTATTAGCATAACGCCTTCTATTATTGATAATTTCATACATTGGATTGTTTATTTATCTAACAAGCTTAGACAAAAGAGGACAAAAGTGAATGCAGATTTGTTCAGCAACTTATGTGGCAGTTGTCTGTAGTAGGTATACCTATTAATGTTATTTTCTTTTGTGGACCTATAGAGCATTATTTATATTCTGATATAAATTTCAAGCTTCAGATTTGCCAAAGTCAGACTATATACATGATTGTACATGTCTGATAAAATGCATACATTTAAATATTAGTTTTATATGGAAGATTATATTTTAAATCTTCAAATATAAAGATTCCCTTTTATTGCATTATGATGGATAATGATATGTTTAAGAGGTGGTACTAGAAAATGGCCATGTAAATTTGGATGGTCTCCTTTGTAGACAACAATTTAAATTTGGAAGGTCTCTTTTTTTGTAGGCAATCAATTTAAATTTGGATGGTCCCTTTGAAGGCAACCAAATTTGCAACCTCTTCTAATAGGAAAATTTAAAAATTATGTATATGAAGTATGATGTATATTTAAGATACGGAATCCTATTATAAGGTTCTCTTTAATACTTTGCATGTATCTATTAGTAATGTCATTCTTATATGTGCATATGCATGCATGTGAAAATAAAAATTAAAATACTTCTTTACAATAAATGAAAATATTTGATAATATTTGATAATATTTGATAATATTAGTTTTCCCCTTTGTGCTTTTGTTTTCTATTCCTTCCTTGATAATATTTGATCATTACAATTTCTACTTGACATGAGTTTTCTATTCCTTCCTTGATAATATTTGATCATTACAATTTCTACTTGACATGAGCACATATCAAATTTGTTTAGACATTTAAAATGAAAATGTCTAATTATTATAATCCATTGTTTATTGATAAGAGACATCAATAACTATGCTAACATGTTTTGATAGTGACTAAAAGAATTATTTTATAGCTCTTCATTTGACTACATGTATAATGCTTTCTCTTGAGATTTCAGGAAATGATTAGAGTTGATATAAATATGCTCTGTCAACTAATATACCTAGTTGCAGGAGATGTGATGAATCAATGTCCTGAAAAATCAAATCAAGAGGTATATCTTATATCTTCTATCTCTATGATGAATAAAAGTTCAAAATCACTGAAGTTATATTGAAATTAGTCCATCAAATAATTAAAATTGTTATTAGGTCCATTTATCCTTATAAGTTGTTTCAAATCAATCACTCCTCTTGCTTCCTATACTCTTTCTTGGAAAGATTATTTTGAAAATGACTTAAACAAGAAAGGGACCTAATATCAAATAAAGGACTAATTATAAAATAACATGATAAATATATACAACGCCTACTAGGCAAATTTGTGATTCTAGACTTTGTAAAGTCTAAAAAGAATCTTGCCGACCCTTTGACTAAGGGATTATCCAGGAGTGTGGTTCTGGATTCATCGAGGGAGATGGGGTTAAGCCCATAAGAGAGGTTACTGACAGTAGTAACCCAACCCTTATTTGGAGACTTAGTCCCAGCGTTGGTTCAATGTGGTAGAAACAAGCTGGACTAGTGACACTCATGTGGAGCATCGACCCAGATATATTCATATATCACTATGTAGCTTGTGATACTACCCCTTCTCTATGATGACGATGCTCTTATGATACAGCTGGCTAGGTTAAGTTTTACTCTTAATAAGTCCAACGTGTGTATTATGAGGGGTATTAAATAAACAGCTGTAGTACCCTTTGAGGACTTACATACGTAAGAGAAACCGTGATGGCCGCGGTTGGGGGGGCTGGGCTAACCCCTAGAAACTCTCATGGGTCAGTTATTGTGAGCATGGCCTTTAACGCTCAACCCGCTTTGCTCAATAGATAAAGACGTATTGTGTGTGTTTTTGTCAATATCTAATTCAAGAGGCCTAATTCAAGGCTTACTCTATTATGTCCCTCAGGTGGCGATAAACTCACTAAGGAAAGGTTCAAAGTCGGAAGCTACATCTCCTGAATTCACGATACGAAAGGTTGCCCAACCTATATTTGTTTTATGATTTCTTGATTTATTTATTGGTTTTGAGTTTTCAGTCAATATTGCCTTTTGGGGGGACTGTTGGATATTTATTGAGAAAAGACAATTTTGCCTTTGTGTTTTAGTCCCACATCGGAAATTGAAAAAGAATTCTCTCTCTCAACCCTATAAATGCACACCCCTTATTCACATTCCAAGGAGAAGAAGAAAA